CCGCCCGCCGTGCCCCCGGTTGCGGGGCGTGGGGGACCCGCGCTCCAGTAGCGCATGGACCGCATCCTTGGGCGTTAAAAAGCGTGAGGCAGGTATATACACACTTCTCTGTATATATATACTTCAGTGGAACTAGGTATAACCACTTCTTTTCAGGGAAAAGCACTTCCCTGGGATGTTTGTCTGAGGAGTGTGCATTAATTGATTGGATGAGGGACATCAGCAGAAAGCCACAAGCCTTTCCTCTGCCAGGAACCGATCTCCTCGCTTTCACCTTGTATGGTTCCCACCTTACACCGTTCTCCCGCATACCCATCACGCCCAGGGAGCTGTCCTTGCCACCAGTGGGGATGCTCCCACTGATCTTGGGCACAGTGTGGTTTGTGACTCTGCTTAAGTAGCACTGTAAACACGTTTCCTCTCCTCTCTGAGCACTTGGGGAAACTTTTTTATATGAAGGGTGCCCACCAAATACCTAGTCCTCCATTCTGGTACTTGCTCTCAGTGCTTAGTGTTCTTAAGGAGAGGCTCATCTTGCAGAGTGTTGTGGCACGCGACTGCAAAAAGCTCAGAAGAGGCTTTCTTGGCTTTATTTATTTATTAGTTTTGTAACTGTGAGCCTTAGAATTGATGATTCAAGAATGTATCAGACAATCCAGGGATGACGCCTTTGTAATGCTTATTGCAGGCATAAATAAAATGATCTTTTCTCACACTTAGCTGTATAAAGAACAAAGTACATCTTTTTTTTTTTTATTTTTTCCCCCCCAGGCAAGCCATTACATTCGTCTCAGTTTGAGGAGCTGCCCAAACTAGGATTTCTTGCAGAGCAGGTTTAAAATGAGGTCTGATTCACTCATAAAGATGCCTCGAGCATCTTTATGAGTAAATTTATTAAGTACCTTTCATGAGTTTCCTATCTTGCTCTGCATCAGTAATTTGATGTATTAAAATCTCAGCTGTCTAGTGGGATGCACTGTATTCCTCTGCTTTGCTGGGCTCTCCTGTGGCTCAGCCCAAGGGAGAGATACTGTCTGGAGACTCTTTTTGTCTCAGTTTTGTAGTGGACACTGCTCTGCAGGGATTAGGACTCAGTGGCATCAGTGTGACGGACCTGGGGTGTTGAGCTCAGCGGTCCAGGAGGGGTGGGTTATTTTCCTCCGGAGTAATCCAAACTAAACCCTGGGTGGAATTTTCCCCGTTATAAGAAGTTTAATTGGTGTTCAGGAGCGGTTTCATTGAATCTATCAGAATCAAGGAGCAGACTGAGTTTCTTCCAGTCTTACCAGGTGACTAGCCCCAGCATCTGGAAGTATCTGGACTGGCATGAGCATCTTCAGGTCCTTCCTTTGCCCAGTTCAGGAAAGACCACGCTGAATCAAGCACAGCAAAGAGTCTCATCTGGAAAATCCTGTGTGTTTTAACTCCAACCCAAAAAGCTCAGGTTTCAGTCCAAAATTGGAGGACTTCACAAAGCTCTGTTTTCACAACAATGCCGGAAACAGTTTGGTGTTGCTCCAGAGTGGAAAGAAAAGCATACTTGGAAACTTCAAAAGCTGCCACTGGGAGGAATGTCACCCCATAGCTGGCCACAGGAGCGTGGGCTGCTTTGGTCATGGCATCAGGTGGAAGGAGGAGATTCTGGGTTTCATTCAGATATTACTGTTACTAAGTAAACTCTCAAAAATCCAGCAGTCAGGAATGGAGGTAAATATTACGCTATTTCCATGCAGATGGACAAGTGGAGCTGTGGGAGAGCCAGGGCTGGGTAGCCAGGCTATGAACACGAGTGTTTGCTTTATGAAGCCCATTATTTTTGCTGTGTTACCCTGTGCACCATGGCCAGAGCAGCAGCTTTTGAGGAGAGGCTTTGGGCTGTGTTGCAGGGTTTGGAAATGCAAGTGTTAATCTCTGTGCAAATTATAACTCAGTCAAACAAGTTACGTTTTCTTTTATATTACCTGTTCATGTTTTGAGCTCTTGCAACATCCAGGAGCTGGAATATAACTTCTGAACGTGAGCAAGGACTGAAATGCCTGGGTATGTGGTAACAGCCAGCGGGAAAAAAAAAAGCCCTAAGAAGGCTCTTGTTTGGTGTGAATGGGCCCAAGCAGCCCATCTGAATGAGAGCCATAGAGAAAGTCCAGGGCTTCGTGCTCCCGGGTTAGAGTTGACCACCTTGTGGGCAGCGGAGACCCGTCAGCGCAGGACTCTGACACGGTCATGCCTTGGCCACGACTAAGAATTACTGACAGGACCTACTTATCCTCTTTTTGGTTTTAGCCTAAGGCACACTAAGTTTTCCTCCAGCTGTCCAGCTTGATTCACTGCTTCCTGCACGCACAGCCCAGACCCATATGGGAGTGACCCAGGCAGCCACTGCTTTTCATTTTTTGGTGTAATAATCGCATGGGATACAGCAAAAGTCCTTTCTCCAAAGCTCTTGGGGCAGAAAGTTCTTGGGACAGGAGAAAACTCCATATGGCTCTTCAGCAGCCATTGGCGAATCTGCGCAATCTGCAAATTACACCCAGAAGCCGCTTTGGTATCTGCAGATGCAACTGGCTGAAAATAGAGGCCTGACAATGCTTTTATTGACGTTTGGGTTGGAAAAAATAGCAGACAGGGAGTTTGAGCCAGAGGCGTTTCGTTGGGAGTGTGCAGCCTCTGTGCTGAATCCTCGGTTGAAGATTTGTTTGATCAGTTATTGACAGTAGAAGTTAATAGTTGCACCCAAGAGAGCTGAGGCATCAGTGGTATCGAAGGGCACATTCATAGCCACAGGCACGCTTAAACAAACTGCTGCATTCAAAGCCGATACCATTGATGTTTGCTTCGGCTTAACTTGCGTGGTTGCACCTAATTTTTAAAGCTCAAACTTTTAAATCATGGATTTTGCAAGAGAAACTTGCTCGGTACCCCTTGTGTTGCTGGACACCAGCAATCCAGGAGTGAAGAGCATCACTGCTGCCCTGGTTGCTGCTGCCTTGGCGGGTGCAGAGCCCTTAGCAGAGTGGTGTCTTCCACCCCAGCCAGCCTTGGGTGTTCCCCAGTGCAAATATGCTGCCTGGCTTAACCTGGATATCCTGTGGAAATGATTATAATAAATTAAAAGTAATTTACTGTAACGAGTCCACTGTGGAAATCGCCTGTGTAGAAGGGGGAGATGAGTATCTTCCAAAGCTGCTTTAAGATGAAAATTGCAGGGAGGGGCACCCCATATATTCAGCTGGAAAAATCAAAAAGATATTCCTAATGTGACTTTGAAAGTCAGCAACTTGGCATGATTTTGGACAGCCACCTCCATATTTCAGGCTGGTCAAACACCTATTGCCTTCTGTCCACAGTGATTGAAGTATTTTGTTAGGAAGATGAATAGTTGAACTCTTTTATTAACCAGAAACCATTGAAAAAAGAAGGAAGAAAAAATACCAGAGTAATATTTCAGAGGTTCTCAGCCCCCCAATACAAGTTTCTGTCTTTTTCATTTTTCTTAGGAAAGGAAAAGAAAACAAGACCTCCTTACAGGTGAAGAGAGATTTATGCCTTCTCCTGCCTTTTAAACTCCTGGGATATTCTTTGCTCTTGTTTGAACTTACTGTATATTTAGCATTAACTGCATCTCAGAACCACCCTGAACGTTGTTTTGCAGTTCAGTTCAGCCCACTCTGTTGTCTGTTGTTCTCTCTCGCTGAAGGTCTCAATCTGTGCACCAGCGGAAGCGCCACATCCTGTGAAGAGTGTCTTCTCATCCATCCCAAGTGTGCCTGGTGCTCCAAGGAGGTAAGTGGGCAGACCTTGCTTGTCTTGCATACTATCTGTAACATGGGAAGGGGGCTATTCCCCCTGACTGTTCCATGCCAGAAGGGGTGGGTGAGGGCAGTGGGTGCTCCATGCTGAGCATATTTTGAGTGCATGTGACTCCTCAGCTCTTTGACACCATAGGAATTAAGTCTCTGACCCTGCTGGCCCCTGCGCATCCTCAACAGAGCAGCACTGTTCCTCGGGTCCTGCTGTCCCTTCAATTACCTTCTTGTTTTCGGTGGGTGCTGGGTCCTAGCATGAGCTCTGTGTTGCAGGGACCCTTGCTTGAAAGCTCTCTCCCTAAAAAGCCCCAAGCCCCCAGCTGGTGTCCTGATAGGTGTCCCTTGCTCCGTGGCCTGGCACAGCACAGGTTCTCTGTAACAAAGGTAATTCTCCTTTCTGAATCTATTGTGTCATTCTGGGAGCCGACCATGGTTCTGGCATCTGTGCCATGGTGCAGCGATGAGTTATACGTGCTTCAGAGTGGAAATGCATCCTTATGTTTGCTGCTGAAGCTGCTCACCTGTAATTTAATTTGGCTTCCTTGGTTTGTGAGAAACTGCAAGTATCTTTCCCTGCTCCCTAAGGACTGTTTATGAGTTTAGGTATACATCTTACCAAATATACATCTTACCATGTAGAGTTAGGATTTCTAGAGAACAAGGCGTATTAAAGACCCGATAATGTCTGATGCATAGATAGCTGTTGTCTGCTTAGTGCCTGTGTCTGTCTTAACTGTTTAAGAGACAAATTTGAGGGTGCTTGCAGAGGAAGGGAAAGACCCTACCTACTTGCAGGCACAGCTGCTGTGCCAGGAGCCAGCTTTGGGCTGTGAGAAACTCCAGAGCAGTGAATGATCTTGAACCTCTAGAGGGACAAGCATGGCTGGGGTGGTGCTCTCCTATTTCCTCCTGACCCTTTTTCCTCTAGCGTGGCTATCCCAGTGCTGTTTTGGGGGAGGCAAGCTGTGGGGTTGAGCACGCACTGAACCTTCCAGCTATAGCTGGTGGTGCTGAGCTGAGGATGTAGGTGCTGCCTGTGTGCCCCTCTGCTGTTCCCATCCTTCCTCGTGCCAGCTCTGCTTGGGGTGGAGGATGAGGATGGATATGGGCATGAGGCCAGAGGTGCTCCCAAGCCCCATTGTTTGGCTGCGTTTCAGGAGGTACCCCAGCCTCTGATCCTTCAGGTCTGTTTTACTGGATTTTCACTTAACTTGTAAGCACAGCTGCAGCTCTCCAAGGAAAACCTCCTAATGCTGCTAACACCATGCTACCTGACAGTGTAATGGCTTTCATGGGGATTTTGTTTTCACAGCAGGGTGAATGGTGTGCAGAAGGGAAAGGGTAAAGCAATAGATCCCGCTTTTGAGACATCTTGTAAACAGCTGTAAGAGCTCCTCTTCCAGCCAGCTCATCTGTGGTGGTGAGATTAGATCCAGGAACGCTGGCTAATAAGCTATGGGTACCCAATAGCTCGCCTTTTTGTTTATTTTATTGGGTTTTTTTTTCTTCTTGGCATCAAAAGACAACCTTTAGCAAAATGCTGCCAGTGGAAATGTTTATCTGGTGGTCACTGTGACCACTAATTGTGTGGCAGCTCATGGGACTGGCAGCCTGACTCTTATCTTGCAAACCAAAATTATCAAAAAAAAAAAAATTTCTAAATGAAACAGAGGGGCCAAGAAGGAAGATGGGTGTTTACAGGGGAGTGCTGTAATACTTCCTGACCTTTAGCCTGCAATAGCTATTTAAAAATACATCTCAAGGTGTTTTGTGCCAAGAGCTATGTGTTTAGAAGCTGCTGTACCCATTACATGCTGCATGCTAAAATTTAGCAAACTCTTACTCTAATCCTGGTTTGTTTGTTTTTTTTTTGTTAGAATATATTGTTTGAAACCAATTATTTGTCTTTAACTGAGATCATCAGGTGAGGTAATGGGATTGCGAAAGATATCTAGAGGTTTTCCACTTCAGAAGTTTTAAAGTGATAGTATAAACTCTTAGTTTCACAACATTATTTCCCTTCTCTCTGCTGCAGCTCAGTCAGGTATGCTTATTAAATTGCCTTTAGTCTGTTTTCCTTAGCTATTTCCATTTGCTGTCATTTGCTATATATGTTGCCTGGAAGCATTTATCCCAGTCAAATTCTATAGTTCTGCTGCTGTTTAAATATCAGAGCTAAGACACTGGAGAGATTTCCACAGATGCTAGTTACGTTGGTTTAGAAACGTGATCGGCTGATTAGTCTGCTCCCTTTACATTTACTTAAAGGGTTTGGGAGCAAATTGGGCCAGCTGTTGTCATCTTTGTAAGCAACAATTAATATTTTTGTCAAGAAGTATATATAGTAGAAGTCTAAGCATACACAATGTAATTTTATATATAATATGTGTATATATATTACATGCACAGGAAGTGTAAATATGTTTATAATATATATAAACAAAACATACTTACATATATCTTCGTGTGCATATATACTTTCTCGTATATAATATTCCACCCTTTGGGGAGTAACATCACTTTGCCATGCCATCATACCCGTTTATTCTTTGTCTCCCTGGGTGCCCAGCAATGCCAATGCTGTGAGGGACTGCTCAGCTGTGGGAGAGGAGCAGTTTGAGCAGGAAAGCTGTGCTATTTCCCAGAGAAGGTCATGCTTCATGCAGCCTCCTGCAGTATTGCATCCTTTTCCATCACCCTTTGCACTCCCAGATCCAGGCTGCATGTGAACATAAAGGGGTAGAAAGTCTCAAGCGCTCATGGACTGCAGCTAGGGGTTACGAGGGCATGAAGGCAATTCTGTGGATACAAGGAGCCCTATCCCAGTAGTTTTCCAAGTGGGATAAGGTTACTTGTATTTACATTGCCTTGAATTGTGAGTACGAGCATGTGTATAGATAGATGCTTACAGCAGAATCGTAAAGATGCTATAAATTACGGCTAATACCTCCTAACCTGTTACTATAGGGTGCATCACATCCTCTTGGCTTGAGTCGGCTTCTGTTCATTTCTGGTTGTGTTCGGCATCTCTGCTCCCATCTGAGAGGATGATGATGGATGAGTTGATGATAGCAGCTTCTGGTATGTGGCAGCCCTGGAGCTCCCAGGGGCTGCTGAGCTAACCACAAGTCTTTGGGCTGTTGGAAATTTGGAAGCAGACATGGATTCTGTTGGCTTATGGAAGAATACCTTGAAAGGCAGTACTTAAATGAGGTGATCTGTTTAAATGGTACTTAGGAGGTATGAATGTGTGGCCTTAACATCGCCTGAGCCTGCCTTAAGCACAGGGCTGTCTGGGGGAAATACACAACTCTTGGGCAATGGAGACTGCTGCAGCCTTTCCATCTGTGCTGGAATCTGAGAAGATTCCTCAGCTTTTCCTTCAAGCTCCAGAAGAAGCTGGAAATGACTAGAAATTGCTGGTGCGCTGCTGGTGAAAGACTCTGGCTGGAAAATGCACGCTAGCCTGTGGGGTTGCTCTGGGCAGCCTGGTTTTAGTGGTGGGAGAGTAGGATGCTTGTTGTTTTTTCGCAGTGGTGTAAGGTTGCCCAAGCTTATCAGGGCTTACTGTGCTTGCTGGGGAGAGCAGAGGGCTCTGGATGTGGCTTCAGTGCTGTCCTCTGAGCTGCCAGGTGGGCTGTGATAAGCACATGGGGGTTTTGCTCATGATAAACTCACCTGGGGTGGTTGCAGAGGGAATGCTCTCCGAAGAGCATTTGGGAGTACCAGTACGGGGGGGAAATGATGTCATCACATTCCTGTTACCTTCTGTTTGCTGCTTTGGGGAGCAGCATACCAACGTGCAGAGGCTCCTTGTGCTTTTAAGCGTGTGTATGCTGTGTGTCCATCCGTGCATTACCTATGTGGATGCATTTATGTGTGTACATGTGAAATAGAGATGCACATTAACTAAACCGAATTTCCCTTTTCGATTAATTGAACTGAAATTTCCCCAAAGGCATTCTCTGTTTTTCAGCAGGTTGCTTGTACCCCATCTCAGGAACGTATGCCTGGAGAATACAGAAGGAAAATCAAGAATGTTCCTAGAGGGAACATGTCAATTTTTTTAAATGGAGAAAGCAAGTGCATTTCAGACTGAATTAATGCAGAACTGGACTGATTAAAGCAAAACATGGTAGGGATATGTCTAATCAGGTGTTAGATATAGTCAGTTAGGTACAGTCGGTGCTATTCTCCGTTTTTATAGCATGAACCAAGCAATTTGTCTTAAAACTGTCAAACTGATGAGCATGTAATTGTCACACTGTTGTCTCCATTCACTCTGTCTGCTTGTGTGCATTTGCTTTTGTGAGCTTGTTAGCGCAGAGACTGGACTGCAAATTGCCCACTGGGCTGTGAGCAACCAACGTTACTAACAAGGACTAGGTTAGGGATCTTCCTGAACCAGCGCTTTTCTGGGGCACGAGGCAGTGCTCAGGATGGTTCCTGCTTGCTGTGGGGTACCTGCTGCATATCTCACTGAAGCTGGCATGCAGATGGTCGGTGGGTATTTGGGCACATGGAATTGCTTAGCTAACTGTGAGATGTCCTCTGCTCAGGGGGATTTGGGGTTTGAACCAGTGTGCCATGTCTGAGCTGGTGTGGGGCTGCCTTTCGGCATGGTTGCTTGTGAATTATTTGGACCTGCATGATACTCTTCACCACTCAAATCTGTTCATGCTTTTTTCCTTTGATTCAAGCTCCAGGAGCCTCGATTTTCCTTACTGCAGAAAACTTTATGCTTGAGTTGGATTGTCCTTGCTACCCACAGTTTGGGCTTTGGATTTTGACCTATGGGTGCATGTGAGGGGTGTTTGCAGGGTGCTGCGGTGATTGCTGGAGCTTTCCCAAGGCCACTGTCATTCCCCTGCTTGGTGTCACTCTTCCTGGATTAGAAACAGAAGTAGTGTGGGTTAGTCCTGCACCCCTTCCTCTGGGGTGTTTTCATCCCTGAAAGGGGTATTTTTTCCATTTTAGCAAACAAGCAAAGACCTGGATTTGATTGGAGCTGCAGCCTAGCAGTTGCTGCCCTGAGGCAAGTCCTCTGGGCCCATTTTGGAAGGAAGTTAAGAGAAAATAGCTGGGTCAAGCAAGGGGGACCTAGGGACTGGAGGCATCCAGATGTGCTGCTGACCTGATCTTTGTGCAGCTCTGGTCAGGAGGAGTTGTGTAGGGGCTTTCCTCTGACCCCCTGGACTTCCTTTGGAGAACTTATGTTACAGAGGCTGTAGAAAACCTAAAGGTTTCTTGACGCCTTGCAAATGGACAGGCACTCTGCCCCCAAAAAGCCCCCGGCAGGTCCCACACAGGTGTGCTCCTTGCCCTGCGTGCCACCACTGTCTTCTCAGCATGCAGATACTGCTCTTGTGTACACCCCTTGCTGGGATGACAAACATCAGTGTAAACAGTACCATACCCAGAGCTGTCTCTTATGGCATTACAAGCTTGACTGCTGAAGAGTAGCAGCTGGGGGAGGAAGCCACCATTCTCTTCTCCCTGGGCTGCCTGCCCCTCCTGGCTCTGGTTCTGCTACCCCAGCCGGAAAATTAAACTCTAATTCAAAGTCATTTGAAGGCGAGTCTTTCCGTTCACATCAAGAGACTTTGGAGCAGACATTGGAGGATTGAAAATACCTGATAAAGGCTGCAGCTGTAGCCCTAAATACTGTCCTATTTGAATGTTTCTCTCCAGTGTTAATTCCTGGGAAATAACTAAAGGTTCCCAGCGGCATGCCTGGTGCTGTTTGTCTGGATTTTTTGCAGTACCAGCGTGTCCTTTCTAACAGATGGCAGCAGAAATAGACTGGCAGAGGTGCTCATTTGGAGCCATGGTCCAGGTACTGGGAGCGCAGGAGAGCATCTCCTCGCAGGTGCCCTGCTGCTGGGGGGACCAGCCCAGGAAAGTGCCTGGACCCCACCAGCTTTTCACTGACTTTAGATCAAACCACATCCAAGATACGCTTTTCTCCAAGGCTGCCTTTAAACGTGCTGTTCTGCAAGGCTGGGTGCTGGTTTTGGTTTTGTAGGATTCTGATTTTTATTTCATCATGCTGGCGGTGATTTAAATAGCCCCAGCCCTCCTTTCTGGAAGTTCATCTGTTTACACGATGTGTTCCAAGAAATTCCTGTTCGTATCCCTCTGCCGTGCCATCTCCTTGGCTGGATCCTGCCGCTGGATGCTGGAATGCAAATCTCGCATTTTTCAAATAGCGTTGGGACCTCATAGTGAGAAAATGCAGCAGAGAACTTCTGCCTGTGTGCCGGGACCCTGCATCTGAGGCTCTTCTCGCGTTCCCCAAGGGCACCTCGTGGGGTGTGAAAGCAAGATCTGTCAGATGACCTCGTCTTCCTCAGTGTCTCCCCTGTCTTCTGCCATGCCAGAGCTTCAGCAAAATGTGGGGTTTATTCAGACCTGCACTGGATTTTGGCTGCACAGCTGAAGGAGGGGCTAGCCTGGCTGTGAGCATCTTCTCTGAATTATTTCATGTCATTTTAGTCCATCAGCCCTGGAGCAGAAGATGGTTGTCTCTATTATTGTAGTGCAGAAATAAGTAGGAATAGACTGTTGAAAATGCATTAAGTTTGGGGCATGTGACTTCCTCCCTTTGGCGCTTTTGGGGAAAAAAAGTTTAAAAAGGCATTCTAGCAAATGGTCTCCTTGCAGAAAGGCTGCATTGTGCAGCCGGCTGTTCCCGAGCGCCGTCCCGCACAAGGCTGCATTGTGTACCATGCATGGGGCTTGCAGGGAGGGCTGGAGCTCTGGGGACAGGCACTGGGACACTCCCTGCCATGGCAGCCTGTCCTCTGGGAGCTGGGGCACTGCCTGTGCCTCGCTGCCTACACCTCACTGCCTGCAGTAGGCATGGGCTGCCTTCTGACCACCTCCTGTGAAAGCTTTCCCACCTCCCTTATTGTCTGGCAAAGCTGCCCAGGACAGCCTGCCCACATCAAACCGCTCTAGCTGTGCTCCACCTCAGGGACCGCTTGCTGTCACTTTTTTTCCCCATGTGATGGTGCAGTGCAGAGGTGTGAGGGAGGGGAGACACGCGGCGCTTGTGTGGGGTCTCACCCAGGGAAGAGGGCACAGGTCCCTGGAGCCACCCAATCTCAGTCTCCAGCTTCACATCTTGGCTCGGCTCTCTGGATTGGTGGGTTTGTCAGGCTTCCCTCGGTACCACCTCTTTGTCCTCTCTTCTCTTTTTTGCAAAGCTCCTGTGAGTCGATGCATGCAAAAAAGATAATAGCTTCTCAGTTTTACCCTTGAAGAGATGGCAATTGGCTGCCCAGGCAGCAAAGCAAACATTTTGCATTGCTTTCACATGGGCCAAGTCAGGGCTGGGGACTGTGGCTGGAGTGATAAACTCAGGCTTATTTTTCTGCTGCAGTGTTTTTTGAGCAAATTCATTTTCAAATCCTTGCAGGATTTCTTTTTTGGTAGATCCCTTTGAAAGGCTCAGTGCAGGTTGCTTTTGAGTACAACCTCCAGAAATGACAGCAGCTTTTCCTTGTCATCTCCTATTTGCTACAGATACCAGCATGTCAAAACAATGCTCCTACTGTGAGATTGATATTTCTCCCTCCCTTTTCCTTTTGACCGTTCTTCATCCCCAGGAATTTGGCAGCACAAAGTCCATCACATCACGGTGTGACTTCCTGCAGAACCTGATTGCAAACGGTTGTGCCGGAGCCATCGAAAACCCCAGCAGCAGCATAAGCGTGGTGAAGAACGTTCCTCTGAGCAGCAAGGGCTCGGGCCAAACTCACCTGGATGTCACGCAGATCACACCTCAGAAGGTTGCCTTGAATCTTCGTCCTGGTGAGTCCCCAGTGGCTTTGAGCATATGCTGGGGGGTGTATGGGTGAGAAAGGGCAGCCAGGACATGCCAAAAGCGTCTTACAGCTCACATCCTTGTACCCACTAAAGCAGGAGGCAGCTGGTGCCTTCCACAGCCCATGAACTTTGGTGGTGCATCACAAACAGGTTTGGTGCTGAGATGTGTGTCTTTCATGAGAGGACACTGCTGTCACACAAAGTCAATCAAAGCCCACTGTTACCAATATATAGTCTTAACCCTTGCATGTGTTTAACAGGAACCTGCTCAGCTTAAAAATGTAGTCACTGGATGGAAGGAGTTAAAATAACTGTGTATCCTCCACCAAGCTGAGTGTTTGACTCCAAACTGAGACAGCTCCTTCTATAATTTGGAAACAAAAACATGTATCTGTTTTCTGTCGGTATGCAAAAAAGCCATGGGATCAAGGCAGAAAGATGGAGATTTGAACTTGTGACTCAAGCCTTGGACTGTAGCCAGATCCCTGTTTCATTCCCCTGAGCCATCATTTTTCTTCAATCTCTTCCTTTTAATTAAAAATTAGAAGGGAATGGCTGGACTGAGCCATGTGGGCATGCTTGTTATCAAAAGTTTGTGCATGGTGGGGGGAGGCTTTAATGTGGGTTCAGAATTCTTGGGAAATTCTGGCAGTTGATATTTCTGAAGGGGGGAAAAAAGAGCTCTTTATTGCAAAGTTAAGCAAATATAAAAGCTCAATTCATTATAAGCAATTGGTGTGGGTTTCTAAGGCTTACAGTTTTGTGATGGCTCTCATGAGCATACAGAAAAATGAAATATGATTTTTGCCCAAGAAAAACAGGAGTTTGAGCTGGTGCTCATGCTGTCAGTGCTCTCACGGAGCTTACCAGTTGCTGCTGGATTTTTTGGTTTAATACTATGGGTTGGATAGTCATCATGTCTCTAACACATGCTTGTTCAGCAATATGATTGCTGTCATCAGTCAGATCCTCACATGTAAAGAAATTTTGCTTCAAAGCCTTAAAAACAGATACCTGGTGGTAGTCACCACTGGATGTATGGCTAGATGCATGCTTCTGTAACTGAATGCTGCTGATGAAACAGGTTTGCTCCCATGAAGGGAGTTGTTATTACTCCTGTTTCTTGAGGTAATTCCTGGCAAAAAAGGCTGGCTCAGCTTTCACATCTCGCCTCCTGCAGATCCTCCTTCATGCATGGTGCCTGGTGCTTAGCAAATTCTCCTTTCCCAATCCTGGACAGTTTTGCCCAGCCAGAGGCACAGATGCTCACCGCTCCAGTCTCTAGCAGGGTGTGGGGATCCATGTCCCTGCAGCTTCCTGGGGGCTGTGCTGTTGGATGCTTTGGGCTGCACAGGGCTGGTGTGCTGGTCCTGCCAGCCCTTGCAGCGGACCACGCTTGTGTCCATCTTTGGTTCTCCTTGGACAGCAGACAAGCCCTCCAGGTCAATGATTAGTTAATCATAGAATCATAGAATAGTTTGGGTTGGAAAGGACCTTAAGATCATCTAGTTCTAACCCTAGGTCCAGCCTGAGCTGCAGGAGTTGCCCCAAGGGTGTCGGCAGTGATTCCCATGCTGAGCTGGCAAGCTCTGTTCCTTGTGCTCCTCTTGCAGAGCATCAGAGTCATTGCAGAGTGACATACCTAGATGTTTGTAATAGTATCTCCCATTTTTGCTGTCTTTTTGATGTTGGGCAGCGCTCCATCTTAGGGTAGATGACTTCCTAAACCCTTGTATTACCATCCCCAGTTTAAATTATCCATTAATCCTTGAGCCTGAGAATGGGTTTCACCCTGTGAACCCAAGACAAAAACGAGACAATGTTGATTTAATTTTGAGCATGAAGGGTGTACTATTTCAAAGATGAATTGACACGGCAGTCTGTGGCAACGCTGATCTTTTATTCTTAGACTGCTAAGCAGAAGCAGAAGGGAACGAATTGTCAATTGTTTGCGTTCCCACCCAGGCAGTTTGATCTAATTGTCCTGTGGCAGAATTCACATCCCCAAATCTCTGTGCCCAAAAGTCTTAAATTGATGTCCTGACAAGGGTAGCTTTCAGATTGAGCATTTAGGTTTTATGATACTGCTTTTTAATCTTGGGTCCAGCTATAAAGCACTGTGTCCTGGTTAAATGAAAAATACGAGTAATGTAAAAGGAACTAAAAAATGGAACAGATGCAAGTTTTGTTGCCCATCAAGCTGTAAGCCTCACCAAGCAGAAAAGGGAGCTTTTCTTGGGTAAGCATGATTGTCGAGTTTGTGCTCTTAAATTGGCCAAAAGCAGTTTTTCCAGTTTCTACATTTCCTCTGTGTGACAGTATCCAAAAAATATTTCTGAATTAAGTTTTGACATTAAAACCTTAAAGCAAAAGCCCTAAGGAGAGGAGAGTGGTAACAGTATGTGGGGAAGGAGAAGGCTGGATTATCCTAGAAGTGCGAGAGTAATACTGTGCACACAGAATAATAAATTCTTTTGCACTTCCATCTACATACATTAGAGATATTTTCTGTGAGTTAATTGGTTTGTGCAGTTAGGAATGAAAGAAGAACCAGGCCCAGGATCTTTTAGTTTTGGTGCTTCTCAGGGACTAATAAATACGTAACTCTTGAGAAGTCTGATCAGAGCTTCCCAAGTACCCTTTCTGCCACAGGAATTCCCTTCTCAGGACCTACTCCTGAAGAGCAGTGTTTTGAAAACGGAAATGTTGGGAAGTGCAGAAGGACACATCTTTTTCTGAAAGGGTTGGGTATTCCAGTGGGAAAAATATGTAGGAATGAAAAAAAGTGGCATAGGAAATAATAATTAATTTTCCCAGAGTTAAACACATTCTTTGCAGCACTAAATTGAAGTCACTGCCATCACTGTTTGTTACCCTGCAGTCAGTGCTAGCAGGTTTTGCACTTTATAGATTATGTTCTCCTTTGCTCCCCCACAAAATGCCTGCCAGGTACAGCATCAGGCCCACCTGATTTGATTGATCCTCCTCGATAACTTTGCTTACTGTAGGGCTAGTGCTTAGTTGCACCTCAGTGCTGTGCCAGGAAAGTCCTGCTCCTGTCGGAAAAGAAATCTGGGGAGAATAAGGAGGAATATTGATAGCAAGAGTTTCCTGCTTCCTATGGCCGATATCTAGGCAATACCTATGTGTGCATGTTTGTACATGATGCCTCTCTTTGCCAGGTGGTATTGGAGCAGGCTGCAGTGGGGGAGCAATTACCTGTAAGAAAAGAAGACCTGACTTGGAAGTACCCTTGATCTTAATATGTCAGGAAATCATTAGAGGGAAGGTCTTGGTTTAGGTGCCGTAGCTGACTCCTCTGGTACCCCAACACCGAGCTGGTTCAGATGCGCGGAGAACTGGAGGAGCAAAGAGCAGACCCTGACCTAAATCTTTCACAGCTCTGTTCGCAAAAGAGGCAGGCTCCGACACGTGCCCCAGGGTGCAGGGACCCCAGCTCCTTCGCTGAGCAGGCGGATGTTGCTGGGCATGCACTGGCCCTGCGTGCAGCTCAGCACACCATAACCCCAGGCGCCAGGGCTTCTGCCTGCAGGACTGCAAAGCCCGTCACGCTGTGTCTTGCCAGCACGGCAGTTTTCGGATGCTGCTGCTGCATGTCGTTGGGCTGGAAGTAAGTGGAAGCAGCTGTGCTGCTGCACACAATGAGGAGAACAATAAAACGGTTAGGGAAATGTTTTCCCTATACTAAAATATGTGCGTTTCATTTCTGGGGAAGAAGAGGGGAAGTCACAAGTGTTTTACAGAACCTGCCAGTGCCTGAAGTTCAGCCTTGGCCATGAAGAGGTGGGAGAGATAGGCAGGAGTGGGAGATTGGTTTTGAGAGGATCCGAGTCCCTGGGTCTGAGGCCCCACTGAGCTGGAAAAGGGGTTGAGGTGGCACTTTGGCTCATGGGGTCTCCAAACCAGCCTGGGGGTTGAGGGTGCTATCTCTGGAGTTTCCATTAAGACCTCTCTCTCAGCAAAGCATAAGGTAAACTTTTGCCACTTCCTCTGTAGCTCCACTGAGGCCCATCTGGTGGGAAGCTGAGTTCACTTTGAAGCTGCTTCACCTTTTTTGAGAAGCGGGCAATGCCACCGGGGGCCTCCCCTCGCAGCATCTCTTCTGGGTCTCTGGTGAAAGCAGTTTGGCAAAGGGGAAGGCCAGGGGAAAGGCTTTCTTCTGCTCTTCTCCATGTTTGTACAGCCTGTGACTCAGCCCTGTCTGCTCCTTCCCTTGTGTTCATTACTTCAGGAACTTCATGTCTGCCTCAGTGCTTCACCAGGTGACCCTAACAGCTTTCTTTTTCCAGTTCACTTCCCTTTTGCCCTGCTTTCTCTGGAATCATGGTGGCACAGCTCTGGATTTTTTTTGGGGAGAGGTCCTTTTCAAACCTGTTTCTTCTGCATCTGCTTCGACTTGACTTCCCTGCTCAGATGACATCTTGCATTCATCTCATGCTGGCTGTTTTCTCCTGAACCTTTTCCTTCTCCTGCTCCACCTCCTTCTCTCTTTTGTGCAGGACTGCTTGGACTGATCCTGGTTTGCTTTGAGGACATTGCCAAGTAAGCATGTGCAGGCTCCCTCTTTCACTAGTACATGAAACATCCTTTTGAGGTTCACTCTGCTTGCTTTTCTTTCCAGTTTTATAGGAAAACTCCCCTGACCTGTACACAGTCAGGGGCAGCAGCATTTTTCATGTGTCCCCCACCTTAGGCATTCTCTCAACTGAGATGGAAAGGCCCTTTCCCACATCTCCAAAGTAAAATAGAGACATGCGCTCCATAGATGTGTCTTTCTCTTGCGAACCAGCATACTACATAGCTTACAAGGACCCAAAGTTTTCCTGTTAGTCTCCTGAAGGATGGGTTTGGAAAAGCTTATTCCCCTCAGCTTCTTTTTTGCAAGTTATCTACCTACTTTACCAGGGGGAGGGGGAGAAAGCATGTGGTCTGGTTTTTGTGTGTGCTAGGAGTTTCCTTTTCACTGCTCTCAACTCTTGTGTGTATTCAGGTGACAAGACCTCCTTCCGTGTTCAGGTTCGGCAAGTTGAGGACTATCCTGTGGATCTGTACTACCTGATGGATCTCTCCCTGTCAATGAACGACGACCTAGATAATATTCGCAATCTGGGGACGAAGCTGGCTGAAGAGATGCGAAAGCTCACCAGCAATTTTCGGCTGGGGTTTGGCTCTTTCGTGGACAAAAACATTTCTCCCTTCTCCTACACAGCACCAAGATACCAGAACAATCCCTGCATTGGGTAAGTGGTAGGAGTACCTGAGGGGACAAGTCCTGTGTTTGCACAGAGCCTGGCTGCAGTCTTCTCTTCCTGTTCTTGCTTTAAATAATGAGCCACGCTTGAGCCCCAGCTTTTGGGAATGCTGATTAGCCATGGCTGTCATTGTGATGCTCCAGAGTGATTCAAAATGGGACAACTTTCAGTTTTGCAGCAGCTGTTGGGAGGTCTGTGCATGTAGAGATGGGAAACTCTTGTATCAAAAGCCTGAAGCTATTTTTAAGTACCTGAAGGGGATGCAGACATAGCAGGCTTTTTTACGGGCTTTAAGAAGGAAAAGCCAGAAAATCTTGATTTCTGATTGTAGCTCTGAGTCATAGTTTGGCCTTGAGTAAATCAATTAAGCTCTTTGTCTCCATTTTACAGATAAGCAGACCAAGGCAATGTATGTTTTTCCCAACAGAAGTGTTTGGGGGAACTGAGATTTGTGACTGTAGTACTGATAAATGAGTTCTTGTAAAGCACTTTGAAGATGTCAGGCAGTTTTTTCATCTTTACTGCTGTGGAAGGAAAGCAGAATGGCAGTTGCAAAAGACGCAAATGTTGTGGTTTGCTTTGCATGATATCAGAGCCTTGCCTTTTAACCACCAGCATTGGGATCAAGCCCATTGAATTGGGGATTATGCTAGAGTGAAACTAGGCATAGTGGAGGGTGTCCAGGCTCAGATGGGTTAAGAAGTTGGCATGAAAGGACAGATACAGCAGCAAGTGCCCTCCTGGCAGAATGTCACTGTTGACATTTACCTTCGTGGTCCCTATCTACGCTTCACTGACCACTGGGATGCCTTCTAGTCGTGTAAGGACAGTAAGGTTAGCATTGTTATTTGAGCCATTTCATGGATACTTACCTTGTCACATTATTACAGTGCCAAGCTCTGTGAGCATGCATCCTTTAAGTTTTCCATATGAGGGGCAGATAAAGAGAGCTTGCTTCAACTATGAGTTTCTGGGCTAGCTTGGCATTGACCAAGCATTTGGCATCTCATTGCACATGACCAGACAAAATTATGTATTGTCTTTTCACCAGTTCTGTCGAGAAAGGAAAGTCAAATGGATTTTTAACACTGAAAACTCATGCTTTGGCCATGAAGCATAGCCAAAAGTGACTTGACTGAGCTAAGGAGATGACTCTGCCACCCTGCTGTGGCACATCATGCTCTTCATAGCCCTTTCCCCCATAAATTTGGCATGGCCTTAGGGGGATCCTCTTAGTCATCTCTGCCAGCCTTTCAGTCATCTCTGTCAGCCTCAGTCTCCATCACCCGCTAATGTTGCTCAGGGGCTGAGGGCTGGGTTTCTCTCCAGCTGGGGAGATCTTGGAAACTGCGTTTTGCTGGTGTATGATTTACTTGAAGTGACATGGCCTTTCCTGAGTTTTGGTTTTACCCAGTCGGTTGTTTTTCTGTTTATGGGTTACATTGGCCTGACCTGATCTTGAGAAACCGTTTAGACAGGATTGCCCAATGCAGCTAATCTGGTGGGTGCCCCCTTTCAGTTGCCATCTGTCACCTCTTCATCCAGTCCAGGGATGCTGACTCCCCATTGTTCTTCAGCGGCATTGCCGTCCCCTGCGTGCTCTGTGAGCAGGCTGTCACTGCTGTCGGGTGACTTGCTGATGTGACAGTGAGGTGGGTTGTCAGGTATGGTTTGTTTGCAGCCGTGTCTAGTGTCAAAGCAGACTTCGTACAGTGGCCTGCTCAGATCTAAGAAAAGCTGCAGGTAAACATGAGCTGCAGTGGGGTTTTTTTGCCCCCTGTCCAGGCTCTCTCCTCTTCCTCACAGTAATGGCTGTCCTGCAAGTCTGGCTGAGACCCCTTGTGCTTCCTCCATCTCATCCCAGCTTGCTGGTCACCCCTGTTCCTGGCTCAGGATCCCAGCTGGGACCTCTTGGAGAGCCAGGACGTAGCCTCTTGCAGCCACAGTATCACTGAGGAGAGATAATACAAAGGAAACAAACACTAAATTAAAAAAGATAAGGACGGCAAAGGGTTTGACTGAACAGCTAATTGCCCATGTATCTGTGATATGCCTGGTGGAGGTTACAGCCTGAGATAACCCACCCGCGCTGCCGATGCCCTTGCGTAGCCACTTGGATATTCATTGTCTGTCGTGCTGCTGCCTGCAGCTTCTGCCAGCAAACCTGGAGTGTAAAACAAAGAAAAAAGGATTAAGTTATACATCTCTATGGAAGGTGGAACCCTGCAGTGTGTCAGGGTTTTCTTTCTGCACAGAGCTCTGGCAAATCGAGCAGGTGTTTCGGATGGGCTAAAGGCTGCTTGCTGAGACCCTGCAGTGCAGAGGTTTCAGACATCGCAAATGCCTTGCCTTGGCCCCAGGTGCAAGCAGGATGCAAGTCTGAACAAGGTGCTGATCACAAGGGATGGCTTTAATTGCCAACTGGGCCCAGGGCAGTGGGACCTGCCAGATGGTTAGGTATGTGCATGGCTGTGCAGGGTCGCTTGTGAGGAATTAGAGTTCCCAGTGGTGGTAAATTTTAAATAGTCCTTTGTGTAAAAAGCCTCTTAAAACTTACCCATAGTGGGTCATGTGTCAGCAGAGGCCTTTAATTGTTCTACAGGCTTTATCTTTGAAGATAAGAGTGAATTAGTGCCAGCCCAACTCCTTTTCAAACACATTTTCTTCTTAACCCTTGTCGTCCCTCTTCCCTCCACTAATTTCCCATGCCGTGGGAGCTGCTCTGCTGAGCTCTCCCGACCACGTGGTGGGCACCAGAGCTGCCTCCTCATAGTTCTGTATGGAAGAAGGAAGTTTTCCTGGTAACCTGCTGAGGCATTTCTTTGCCTTAGGGTGCCCCTCCTACCTTTCTGCTTCAGCAACACTCAAGGAAGCGGAGATGGTGTTTGCTCATCAGCTCACAGGGAGAGTGGGAGGATGCATGAGTTAATATTAGTTATTAATGCAGCTCATGTTGGGCAACTGCCAGGTGCCTGGTGATGTGCAGTGCATGACATGTATTGCCAAGAAAACTGGATGACAAAGTGAAAATGCACATTTTAAAACAGAGGAGAAGTAGCTCTTGGCAGTGATGCTCTTGTGTGGTGCCATTTGACACCAGTCCACTGGTTCTGCTGGCATTAGGCACAGCTCACAGTGCCCTCCCAGGCTGCAGGGGAGGGTGGCTCTGCCAAAACACACCCTCTGCATCCTGCACTGCCAATTCCCAGTGTGAAAACTGCTTTATGGGTGCTGAAACTGCAGAGCCGCATGGCCCAGGGCAGGCTGGTGCTTGGTGTCTCCACTCACACCCTACATGGAGAGAGATGTTTGGTCTTGGTGAGATCTCTGGGAACTTCAGCGCTCAAAGCCCCTGAGAGAAACAGATAGACAAACAAAAGGGGCTCTACTGTGGGGTTTTGTAGAAAATAGCCAGAAATCAAAGTGTCCAAAATATGGAGCCTTGGGAGTTGTTTCATCCCTCTGAACAGGTGACCAACCTGGTAGAGCTGGGAGCTTCTGCAGCTCTTGGCTGCTGGTGTGGTTCCTCCCAGCTGACCACTTCTCTGTTCCTCCTGCAGTTACAAGCTGTTCCCCAGTTGCGTCCCATCCTTTGGCTTCCGCCACCTCCTGTCCCTAACGGATAAAGTCGACCGTTTCAATGAAGAAGTTCAGAAACAGAAGGTTTCCCGCAACCGAGATGCTCCGGAGGGTGGTTTTGATGCGATTTTGCAGGCTGCTGTGTGCAAGGTGAGTCACTCTGATTTGTGTGGGTTTAAAACAAGGCAAAAGAGGAGGGAGTTTCTTCTGCTCTGTCCTTGGACCAGGGTAGCGCTTCAGAATGCAATTTCTTGGAAGTAACTACTAGATTTTTCTTGCAAAACCCAAGAAAATGCCTTGAAAAGTAGAGGCTATTGTTCTCATGTTCTTTTGTGCATGAACAGGCAAAGGAGAAAAGGTTAGTATTTTTTTTCTACTTTAAAGGGGTAAAAATGGAGCTTTTGTAAATGCAAATTCAGGGCTGAGATTTCATTGCATGGTTAGACTTATGGGTACTGATCCCTGAGCACCTGGGATGAAATCCTTTAAGATACACATACACTTGTGTGCAGCAGCACTGTGCGTCAGCTCAGTGTGTTTCTGAACTGCATGTCAAACACCTCTTGCAGTGGTTGACTCATGTTGAGGGTTGGAGCTGGTTCCTGTTGCTCATACCTGCCCCTTTTGTGTGGGGTGCAGGATGATCCCACCCCCAGGCGCTGATAGCCTGCTCTCCCTTTTTATCAGCAAAACTGGAGCTGTTAGCAGTAATTAAAGACAGAGTTCATTGCCTTGGTGCCATGCTAGCCACATCCTTAGGATTTTTTGAGATGCTTGCTTGAAGATCTTTCCTGAACAAGCAGATAGGTTGTTCTCTATCCCTTTGTGCAGCAGGGATGGAAGAGTTTGCTCCCCTTCACTGTGTGGCTGAGCATCCCTGCTCACCAGGGATGGCTCTGGTTGCTTTTTTTCCCTCTTTACTACAGTCAGGTTTGGGTTTTGTTTCATCCAGCCTTGTGTAGTCCTTTTGTTAGCTGTGTTTTTTCTTCTGGGTCTGGATTTTGGGAGCCAGGAGATAGGCATCGTCTGCAGGAGTGATAGGATGCAGGCTTGTGGGAGAACAGATTTTCCCTCACTTGGGTTGGCTTCATTTACATTTCATGCTTTCAGCAGGGCTTACCCTGCCTCACTGGATCTCATGCCACCCAACAGTCATCTTCCCTCTCCCAGCCTGGCATAGATACTGTTGTTGGCACAACTACAGCACTTCTCCCAATACTCTGGGCGTAATGTGCTTCTCAGTTTTGCGGAGATGGCTCTCATGGTTAGCGCAGAGACATCTCAGGATGGTGATTCAGTTGTGCCACCCACTGTGTAGTTTTTTGGTGGTCCCTTCCTCCATGTTATTACAAAAATGGGACAACATTGTCCTGTCGTGTAAAAATACTGTGGTGTCTATCATGAGGGCTTATTTTGGACGTGGTGGTGGAAGACAGGAGACTTGCAAGATGATTCCTACATATTTGTGCCATCTTAAGCTGTTGGTGAGGACCAAAATCTTTGACTGTCATTTTTGAGTGCACAGCCTGGTCCATTCTAAATTCAGAAGATTAATTTAGATGCGGGCACCATCTAAATTCAGGACTAAGCATCCTCTAGGAAGGGTGAGGAGAGGTGAGTGCGTGCGCTTGCATGGCTCTTGGCATGATGTGGCAGGTGATGACAGAGGAATTTCTGCAGCCGTGGCGGTTAACTGGAGCTTCGGTGTGGGAAAGACAGTCCATGGGACCAGTGTGCGAGGCAGGAGAAATGGCTGTGTCATGACTTGTGCTGCCTTGGCAGCCCCTCGCTGCGGGTGGAGCAGCTGCCTGTCGATCACAGGCATGAGAATAGGCAAAATTACAGGCCAGCTGATTGACCTCCTAAGCTCCATAGCCAAAACGGGAACTTAGTGATTTATCTCCCTTGAAATGGCCCAGACTGGTCGGTAGACGTGGGTTGTGGTGAGGCTCAGCACCATCGAGGTGGTGAAAGTGGCAGACATTTGGGGTGGCAGTGAAGTGTTGCTTCCTGATGAGGATAATCTTTGCCTCCAGTGGTGATTAATGAAGCATCATAGTGACTAAACCCTGAAGACAGTAGTTTCTAGTAACTCAGGAACTCTTTTTCCCTCATGCACGGAGAGCATACAGATACCTTGGTGACTTCTGGCACGGGTTTCCTTGTCACTACTGTGGTACCTTATTGCATCTCGCTGGCATGTTCAAGCTTCTTCCAGCTTTCACCCTCTCTGTCATATTTAGAACCCAAGATTTAGGGCACTTATGATCTTCGCCCTGCCTTCAGGGCAAAGGAGGGTGCTGACCATGAAGTTCTTTGTGCTCAGCAGCAGAGTACATGGCAACAAGGGGGACATCCCAGGGAGAGCCAGCCATGGCATTCCAGAGTCTTGCTGTGTCCAAGCCACGGTGTCGAAGCGTGGTCTTCTCCTCCCCTTCAGGCGCTAAGATGTCAGAAACAATACTTACTCTGTTGACTAAGTATTTATATACTGTAATTCATATAACGCATTTCTTCTGCATGAGCTGTCTAAGAGCTCTGTAACGATCAAATCATTTTTTTGGCCTGGTTTTCAGCCCAAGGAGTGGGGAGAGTTTGTACAGCTAATACAGACTAACGAGCAAGCCCAGGGTTTGGCTTCTTTCTGAAAGATGAAGATATGGTAAATGTTATGGAGGCAGTGAAGAGCCAGAGACAATAAGCCTTTATCCTGATGCTAAACTGGTAAGCCAGGAATATTAATCAACCTTCTGTAATTACATTTTCCATTTGTGGTATTTGGTCTTCTGCCATTCTTTAAGTGCAAGCATCATATGGCTCAGTGGTATGTATAAGTTTCAGATCTTACGTAGTAAGATGCAGCAAGGAGATAATGCTGTATTAGGAAATAAGGTGTCTTTTGCAATGGATATGATTGGTGCTTGCTAGACTGGTACATGGAGATGGCCAAGACGTCTGGGAGACATGGAGGTGCCTTTCAGAGCTATGCCAAATGAAGGAGGTTTTGGCTTTTAGCCTCTAAGGCATACTTGTCTTGTACCTCTATCTGTTTCTTCCTTCCAAAAAGGGCTACACCTGAGAAAAACATAGGGTTTTACACACACTGATGAATCCAGGGGGTTCTTTTGGCAGTTGATGTCTTAGCAATTGAACTGTTTTTACTCAGCACCCAAAGCCTAAATTTAGATACTTACTTCAGGCCTGGAAATACTGATGCAGGATTTTGCAGCCTTTTCAAAATGATTTGGAGAGCTGGGCTGGGCTGAGACTGCTGTGGCAGTTTTGCCAGTTGCTGTTGGCTGTAAGAAAGTGAGAAGCTGGTCTTTTGGAGTACAGGAGGCAACTGCAGCTGGTCATAAGAGTAGAGGCAGGATTTGTAGTGTGCCCAGCCCTGCAGAGACATGTCTTCTCACCTCACTCTGCTTTGGGTCAGGTCCCACCCCTGCTTTCAAAATTCTTTATATCACATGAGGATCAAAAGCCAGACGAGGGGGCAGATGTCAGTGCAGGGCTTTTTGTTCAACAATTCCAGTCCAGTAAAAATAAATGAAAGTCTCTTTGGTTATTTGTTTTAAGCAGAGCAGAGTGCTGTTCTGGGTTTCGTGGTGGAAACTGCATGCTGAAGAGCTGTATTTTCCAGTGCCTGTAAGCTGCTGATGGAAGGCAGCATGAGATGCAGCAGCTCTTTGGTGTGCTGGCTTCTCTGGGTGCTTTTTCCCTAGGTCTTCAGCTCTTCCGGTGTGGCATCAACACCAGCTTGGCCACCCCACCTGAGGCACCCTGGTCGGATGCTCCAAGCCATCGAATGTTCTCAGTGCCCAGGTATTGGCACTGAAACTGTGGGTGCTTATTGCTTTTTGGAAGTTGAGTTCCTGAACTGAGCAACCAAAGTTGTTTTGATGTTGTTTATGTATGAAACCATGTGTCAGAGGCATGTAGAGTTTGTCTGCCTGTGACTGCAAGGTGGGCTTAGCAGGCAGGTGAACAGCAGCATCACCCCTGAATTGGCTTTGTAACTGCTGCTTCAGTGCAGCTCGTTTTCTTGATGCTTAGTGCATTTCTAAGGAGATGAAACTCAGATTAATCTTTTTAATCTCTTTGGGAGTTTCTTGGCCTAGATCATTAAAAAAAAAGAAGATACAAACCAGCTTTGGATATGCTGGTGGCTGAGTAATCCGAGAACTACCTTTTGCATTGTCAGAGCTGTAGTCACTTTTGGGTAAATTCTTAAGAAATTACATTTTTGGATGAATATTTTGCCTTTTATCCAGTGGGGTCTCTTCAATGGAATGACTTCTGCTTCCCAGAGCAAAAAATAATTGCACACTGAGCTGGACTGTAATGTGCTGGTATATGGCAAAGGGGGTGTGTTGCGAAAGATTTCTTCCTATGTCCTATGTGTGTTGTGTGGGTCTTTAAAATGCCATTAAAATAAAAATGCCTTCTACATGAGAGAGGAAAAAGAAATCTACTCTGGAATAGTGTCCTTGAAGTGAGAATTTTATATTTGTTGGAAAGATCAGCAGGCCTTGGGCTATGACTCACATTTGCAGGCGAAAATCGCGCTGGCAGCTGTGATTCTGCACCCTTCTGCCTGCTCTGCCCTCTTGCCGTGCCCACGCCAATGCTTTCCATAGGAAGTATCTTTGCAGCTGGGCTGTGGCCGCCCATAGACTAGCATCTTACTGTAAAACAAGGCAGAGTTCAGATTCTGGTAAATAAGCTGAGCAGTAAGCTCTGGAGGAGTTGGTTATACTCATATGTGCTGCATTCCCATCAACAAGCTTTTACCAGATTTTCCCCCATCCCTTTGCAAAGGATTTGTGCTTTCTTGCTCTGAGCTGGGGGCTGGAGGGAGGGGGATGCTGGATGTGTGTGCAGAGGGAAGGCCTGAGGCTGCATCTTCAATGGCAGACGGGCAGGGTGACCAGCCCAAGGGGAAGCTATGGGAGAGGGGGCTTTCTGGCTCCGGTCTTTGCCATGGCAGGAGCCAACCTTGGCCCACCCGGCTTGGCAAGGAGCTGGCAGCAGGAGCAGCCGGAGAGCACAGGGGAGTGTACTGCACTGCTCTAGTTTCCAAAAATTTCTTTTGGGCTTCTCTGTTTCCTTCCACTTCCTTGCAACAAACTGCTTCAGTCTGCTGTTGTAGGTACAGATCTGCTTCTCAGGCCAATGCAAAGCCGGAAACCTGGGGAAGCTCCATGGGACAGAAATGTTTAACATCTAAGTCTTATCCCTTTACTTGGAAAAAAATCTCTCCCTGCATCTCTCTCCATGCAAAAATAGTGATAATGTCTGGTCCTTGTGCTGTCCTTAACATCTTGGTGCTTTCATAGGCACGGCTAGGGCATGGCTTAGAATTAGCATGTTTTCAAATAGGCAGAAGTTGCTCACACCAGAGGTGTGGAGGGCAGTTGTGCTTGGATTAGTGCAGCCAGCCACTGCAAAAGGTCCCCCTGCTGCACTGTGCTCCAGCTGTGTGTGTCCCTGCTGTTCTGGGCTGTGGTGTGAGGGAGATTGAGCTTTTGGGGGCAAATGTAGTAGCACACAACAAAGGCAGGAGATTTGGAGACATGATGGCTTGCAAAAGATGTGTGCAGAAAGGTACCAGAGCAAAGTGGCTGTGCACGCGTGTGGGTGCACCAAAGCCAGTCCCCTTGGGCAGGAATCTACTTTGTGCATCACAGCTCAGAAACTGCCTTTATGAGCGGATGGTAATGAAAACACTGAGTGGGGGTATTGCAGTTCTTGCTGTTGCCTTGGCTGCTCCACCGAGCTGAGGAAACAAGGTCAGATTAAATGTGTGTGGAGGAAGTTGGCAGGTCTCCCTTGGCTATAAAAGCAGCTGAAATTCTTATTCTTGGATCTGGGTAGAGAAGGTCTGGTGGACAGTCCACATACCTCCTCATGCCTTTTTAAGTGTGTTGGAAAGAGATGCTGGAAAATGCTCGCTGGGCCCCTGACATTCTGTTTTCTTACAAGGGATGGGTGGATAGGAGCATGGTACTCCTCTAATTAGTGCTAACGGGTCTACTGCTGGCTGGGCATCTGGCTGGGACCATGTGCAGGGGAAGAGGTGAAGTGTGGGGTTGGCAGGGGAAGACCGTCTGTCTCACAAGTTTGTTTTCCCCCAGGAGAAGATTGGCTGGCGTAAGGAGGCATCTCACCTGCTGGTCTTCACAACGGATGATGTGCCCCACATAGCCCTGGATGGGAAGCTGGGAGGGCTGGTGCAGCCCCACGATGGCCAGTGCCACCTGAATGAAGCCAATGAGTACAGTGCATCCAGCCAGCTGGTGAGGGGGAACATGGGCCCCAGCCCTTGGAGACCTTGGGGTGTTGGTGGACCTCTCTGGAGACCAGCCACCCCTGACTCTTGCAGCTTCTGGCAAACATAGTGCCTGACCAATATGGTTTCACCTGGTTCTGCAATTTGCAAATAAAATTTGCTGTTCCCCTTGAGCATGCCCCCCACCCCACCCCCCCAAGTGAATGCTTCTGTGATGCTCAAAAGTGAGTTAAGAGCTTAGTGAGTTCCTTCAGGGCTTATTGCAAGGGAGGAAAAAGTAACTCAGAAGAGCATCAGATTTTGCCTGCAAAGTGTAGAAGAAAGAGAAAGATATCATCCCTTTTCTAAGATGTCCAGTGGACTCTCAGCTTCTCCCTAACACAGGTTTTAGTAATAAATAGGCAAACTAGCCTTTCTTGGTTTTCATTTAAACTCAGTGGAGGACACTTCCAGGATGAATGAGTAATTGCCTGCTTCCTTATTATCACATCCTTCTCCAGAATGGTCCTTTACTCAGCAGATCACAAGCACTAATTAGGATTTTTGTTTCTGGATGGCTGTCGCCCTCTAAGGGGAGGTGTGTTCTGGGTGGCTGTATTATGGCCAGAGGCTAGGCTTCATGGAGAAACCCTTTTGCACTCACCTGTGCAATCCTAGTAAGTGTATACATAAGGGAGCACTGTTGCCAGACTGACATGGAGTTAACGCTGCCAAGCTGTCATGGGGATGCTGCCTTAGTGTTGCCATGTTTTGAGTCTTGGAGGCTGCCAATCATCCCTCCAGTATGCAAGGAAATGAGGTGTTTTTTGCTGAGGAAGGCACTCCAGAAGCAGCTGAGGGTTTAAAACTCAAGCTGGTCACTTGCAACTGAGTCCTGGTTCATTATTTTGCTGCTGTGGGTAGCTAGAGCAGTATCTTCCTGCCACCCTCCCTGTCAGGGAAGTCTGAAGAATTAAAGAGCTTATTGTAATCTCTTTATGGTCCAGTATGCAGAAAAGAGCAGGCAATGGATGTTTCCACTTCAGAAGAAAAATCATACATCTCTGCTTACTGCAGTCCTAGATCTCCCTGCCTTTCACCCCTGGAGACAGCAGCCAGTTTTATTACACATGTGAGTCTCCTGATGGCAAAGCAGAAAGAGGAAAGAAAGAAATCCAGCTGATGGTGTTGTCAGTCATATATTCTACTGAAGGGTGAAGCAGAAATATCTAAGAGATGACAGAATTTTCTGCTATTTTAGTTGGGATAGTGATGGTACATCAGGGACTTCATCCCACAGTGAAACATGCCATGTGTCTGGAATGAATTTTCCTGTTCAAGAGCAATGAAATTAGTCTTTGTTTCTTTGTTACCCATCAGTTTTCCTGCCCTTTTTTTGCACCTAGGATTATCCTTCCCTGGCACTTCTTGGGGAGAAACTTGCTGAAAACAACATCCACCTGATTTTCGCTGTTACAAAAAGTCATTACATCCTATACAAGGTAAGTGCTACTGAGCTGCCAGGGCTGGGGGTGGGATTTAAATGCCTCGTGTATGCATCTTCCTGCCTGGCACTGTGGAGCAGAGACAGCCGCAAGCATGTGTGTATGCAGCCACGAGCACAGATGTGTGCAGCTGCAAATACGTGCGTGCATGGCCACATGCTGCCCGCAGGGCTGGCAGGGGCAGGCAGATGCAGGCAGGCGAGACTCAGCCCTCTGTCCATCCCTGCTAGTCCTTTCAGCAAAAAGCACTAAAGCTTCTTAGAGCAAACAGATATATATGCTAGTGAGCATGTGAAAACCTAAAATAGACTGCAGCTTAATCTTGATGTTCGCATGGCTGCGAGCCATGCAGCATGCGAGAGAGCAGAGACCTGTTCAACCCATTCTGCAGTGACTTAATCCCATTACCTAATCGCGCACAGAGTTTCTGCCCAGCTGTGTTTTTCCATCACGGAGTCCAGGGCCCCAACGTGCCACATACAATTTGAACTTCCCCTACCATCCCTGCTCTTCCCTCTGAAAGGAAGAGGTGATGTGAGCTGCAAGGGCTGGCCTGTGTCTGTGAGAAACCCTGTGGGGTTTCTCTCTTCCGCGGATGCAGGGGAAGTGTTTGAGGCAGGGTTGCTTTCGGAAACCTCTGCTTCGGCTCTCGAGGCTTGAGCTAAATCAACAAGCAGCCGCGTTGCTACGGTCGAGATGCTGCTGCTCACCCGCGGAGAGCGGGAGGGCTGAGCTCATTCTCCACCCCGTCTCCAGGGATGCTCGAGGTCTGAGGCGGGACGGGACAATCGCACCTCCCTGCCCTCCGTGCTGGCTCTCAGGAGTGCACAGCTGCTGGGTCTTGCCTCCTCTGGCAGCAGACACTTGTCTGTCAGTCCCTGTCCCATGGCTGTGAGCTTTGTTCAGTGTTTGACGTGTGGCATTAGCTATGCTTTGCTTTCAAAAGCTCCACGTTAACGGGAGCCAACCCATACTGTGTACACCACTAGACAATGGGGCAGGGTGTGCGGCCGGTGTTCCTGGCATAGGGTTGGTCCCTCCTCACCCTCTGCTTTCCTCTCTGCATCTCTGCATTTTCTTTAATCTTTTTTTTCCCCCCAAGAACTTCACTGCCTTGATTCCTGGGACAACAGTGGAGATTTTGCACAAAGACTCCAAGAACATCATCGAGCTGATCGTCAAGGCCTACAACGTAAGTGCATTTTAATACTGCAGCTGCTGTTGTGCGAAGTGCCAAGAGCTCCGCTGGCTTGCCTCTCCTAAGCGTGCTCCACCCGGCATGGCCACCTCCCTCCACGGTCCTCTGCACACTGCTGGAGCTGGGGTATCCACCCTGGGGATGGAAACAAGGTGTGTGAGGTGGAGAAGGAGCCAGGAATACCCAAGGGAGCGTGCGGCACAACAGAGATTTCACCCCACATCTCTTGCGTGCAGAATTACCCTCAAAATACAGGCCCGGTCTAAAACGATTCTCTCTCAGCACCCTACCAGTAGGTAAAATAGATTATTTCTTTGCTATTTCATGTTCAGAGGCCTCCTGAGGGTGTGACCAGGCTCCAGCTAAGGTCACATCCTTGTGTTGGTCTCCGTGCAGCACAAAATGGTCCTCAGCACCCCATGAGCATCACCATCTCTCTTGGGTCCTAAGCAAGCCTTGACTATGTGGCATTGCCAGTGCAGCCTGCCCTGCTGCAATGGGTCCTATGGAGGACAGCAAAGGACCCGCAGTTGTACTGCTGACCTGATGTTGTCCATCTCCATGGAGATCAGTGGAACAGCTCAATTGGAAGCAGCTAAAAGTGCACGTTTTTTTGGGGTAGTTAGTTGTCAACATTTCTATTGATTTCTGCCTTAAATTCTTACGGGTTGGCTCTTCATGCTTCTGGAAGGATATTGCTGATTTGGTGCTGGGCATGGAGATCTGACCCCATAAAATGTATCAGCCTTCAGGTAGAGTTTTTCAGTTTTTGATGGCTGCAAGCTCTTCTTGGTACTATGCTCATTAGCAAGGGAGTGAGGAAGGACTTCTTTGGTGGAGTGTACACATCCAGAGTTATGTAGGACTGTGCTGTGCTTTGCATGACCTGTAATGGTCATCTTTCCTTCCCCCACATCTCCCTGTAGTTAAAGCAGCATTTGTTTGTGCCCTTGGGAAGAGTGCTTCCCAAAGCCCCACCCTCTGAGGAAAGGCAATAAGCAGCTGATGCTGCTAACGAGGCCCTGGAGATACTGCAAAACAAAAGCCCAGTTGTCCCAGTTTGTTCCCTTGAGGAAGGAGGATTCTGTGACAAAGATGCTTGTCTGGGGAGAAAAAAATGAACATTCACTCCACATTGATTTTGCATCTGGTCTCAGTGTCACTGCATGAAAACCTAACTTTGCCTCAGTTTTCCAGCTGTTACATGTATCTGTACCTCCATTTCATCACCCCTTGAGCCTTTGCAGATAGATATAAGCTGACAAAAACCAGTGGGGATCTGATGCCCCCACTCCTGCTCCCTCCTTATCTTTGTTTATGAGCTTTCTGGTGCAGCTGGTTGCAGACCACTAGGATGTTGAGACCCAAGTGCCCCACAGAAGGAGCTGTGTGGGATGACCTGCTGCTGCTGCTGCTGAGACGGGCTGGTTTTTCGCCTGTTCAGCTGGGTGGGTGTGGGCTGGACCCCTGGGCATGCTGCTGGGACCTGGCAGCTCCTGCCTGTGCTGTGGGCAGCCTGGTGCCCGCCAAGCCAGTCTCATCTCGGTAGCTTTGCTTTCTTCCTGAAACAGAGGAGGGAATTCTCACTGAGGGAGAAGGCTAAAATTTCTGTTTCTCAAGTGAGAGTGAACCTTTTTATATTCTTTATGGAAAGGAAGCTGACTGTGGAGAAACTTTCCATATGCAATGGGGATCATCTTCTTTTCAACCAAAACAATTCTACAATTCTCAACGCAAACCACCGTATGATTCTATGATTCTCCTGTGGGGTGGCAGTGGCTAGTGCTCTGGGCCTGGGCTCAGCATCTCCCTCCCTGGGCTCATCCTCTCCCCTTTAGTACTTTTGCCATCTGATCCAATCCCATCTGCTTCCCTCCACCAATGCATATATCAGACTCACCCAAGGCTTATGTTACCCCTGAGATCCCTTTCCCCCCATCTCTTCTGCTTCATGTCACCTCTCACTCATCCTGCAGAAAAAGGAGGACTGCTTTTTTTCCTCTGCCCTCACTGAGGAAGAACTCCTGGCCTGGTGTCCTGTCTTCTGCCTATATTAGATACTCTGGGCTAGAAGCTGGGAGAGTGCATCAGTGTGACAGCGCAGTGTGACAGGGTAATTTTAGGCAGAGCAATACGCTCAGCTTTACTGGCACACACAGCATTCAGACCACAGGCAATGGATGTTCTGTATGGTCCAAATTGCCACCCCGGGATGGCTCCTCTATTACAGCAGAGAGATGAGAAATTACTCCTTTCTTCCCTCAAAGGCTGTTTAGATTCACCTAGCTAAAACTCATCTGTTTCCTTTCTCTTTCCAAAAGTGTTAACTCTTTGCTGGCATGTGAACCCTGGGTTTGTTATTCCATGGACTGGCAAGAGATCTTCACTAGCACTTTTCCTTAATCTGGCCACTTTGGCGAGGGCTGGGGACAAGGGGGAGAAGGATGGAGCTGCAAGCTGGCTTTGGAAGATAAATGTGTTTGCACAAAAGGCTCCATTTTGCAAACCTTTGTAGTTTTTGGACACCACTCTTAAAAAAATCATTTCCAGCCATTGGAAGAATTAAACAAAACAATGTCATTCTGAGTTAATACTTATAAACTTCATTTTGGTTTGACTTTAAAAGTCTGTGTGTGCAGCAGGGTGGAGAAATGAGAAGCAGAAGAAAGGGGGTAAGAACATAGCAAAACCTTGCTTGATGGAAAGTGTTCTTCACTTTGAAAAGACTGCTCCTCCTCCCCCCCCGCCAAGGTAGTGTTTCAGCTGATGCATCTGAAAGGGTACTTTTTGATGGCATTTTCTCCTGAGAAGGAAAATACATTTTTCTGACCAGTTGGATGAAATCAAGAAAGCAGGACAGAGTTAATGCAGTTTTACAGCTTCTTTGTGCTGTATGACAGGTGTCACGGAAAGACTGCCAGTGGAGAATCAGGCTTTACACTTCACTGAGGGGCTGGTTTATGGGGAGGAGGAGGTGCAGATGTGTGCAGATGCTCCATTTGCACCCAACCCAAAAGTCGATGTGTGTGCAGGGGTGATTTTTTTTCCGTATAGGTATAGAGTTGTCCTAGCCACTCTCTGGAAACATCAGGAGAAGAGACTAAAGCAGAAGAAACCCACCCGCCTTTGGGAACCTGACAGTTTGCTTTCCTGTTGTGTTTCTAGAGTATTCGTTCGAAGGTGGAGCTCACAGTCTGGGACAGCCCTGAGGACATTGGCTTGACCTTCACTGCCACGTGCCAGGATGGGTTGTCTTATCCGGGGCTCAGGAAGTGTGGGGATCTCAAAATAGGAGATACGGTGAGTGTGCCTTTCAGCCTGTCCCCCAGAGAGCATGTTTTACCCTCTGTGCAGCTGCTCACCTCTCTTGATGAGTGATCCTGGGCGTGAAGTGCAGCTTTGCTCATCTTCCTCTGCTCTTCCTGTGCCATGTTAATAGAGAAACCCATGAAGAGTGGCTCTGCTAGAAGTGGTTCTGGGTGGTAGATCAGCCCACGGTCAGCTGTGAGGAAAGAGGGAACACACATGTTTGTCTGTAGCGCCCTGAGCCAAAAGGTCTTGGTGAGGCAGCAGGACACAATAGTCAAGAAAGAGAGCTTTTCCTTGTAATCCCATGTATTCACGTCACACTGTGATGTGACATTTTAGTTGCCATGTTTGCTGTCTTTTCCTGGTCCATTAAATATTCAAGGTTTTCTTGTTATTGTTTGAGAATCCTGGCTTGTGTCAGAAATAGCGTGGCCAGCAGGGCCAGGGAAGTGATTGTCTTCCTGTGCTCCGCACTGGTGTGGCCACACCTCAAATTCTATTCTGGGCCCCTCACTACAAGAGTTGCTGAGCGAGTCCAGAGGAGGGCAACACAGCTCGTGAAGGGTCTGGAGCACAAGTCTTACGAGGAATGGCTGAGGGAACTGGGCGTGTTTAGCCTAGAGAAAAGGAGGCTCAGGAGAGACCTTATCGCTCTCTACAACTACCTGAAAGGAGGATGGAGAGAGGTGGCTGGTCTCTTGCGACAAGTGACAGAACAAGAGGAAAGGGCCTCAAGTCGCAGCAGGGCAGGTTTAGATTGGATATTAGGAAAAATTTCTTCACTGAAAGCATTACAAAGAACCTGAACAGGCTGCCCAGGGAAGTGGCTGAGTCACCATCCCTGGAGGTATTTGAAAGATGTAGATGTGGCGCTTAAAGGCAGAGTTTAGTGGCGGACTTGGCAGTGATAGGTTAATGGTTAGACTCCATGATCTTAAGGGCTTTTTCCAACCTAAATGATTCTATGATTCCGTGATTCTAATCTAAACTTGTCTTTCCTGGTGTGAAGAGGTCATGGTTAACTTTGGAGATACTGGAAAAAAAAGACAGGGTACTCAGAAAGGCATCAACCATCCTCTCATGTGTTTAGTTCCTAGGGTTACTGGATAGTAGTACAGACAAAAATACAGTTTGCCCCTTAAGTTTAACCATATACACAGCATAATCCATCCTGTGATTTTTTTTTTTATAAGAAATCAGAGAAGCTAAGCTTTTATTTTGTTTTGTTTGTTTTGTATATAAACACAGATAAATGACTTGCTGGACTGCAGGATGAGGTAGGAAGGCTCAGATAGTGGGGAACTCTCTCCTCTGCTCCAGGCTTTTTCTGTCTGTGAGGATGTGGGTGGGGGTTTGTTAGCAGCCTGATTGCCTTATTTGAGAAGAGTGACTCTGCAAACATACCAGAGCTCTAAGCACTGAGGCATATAAAAATAGTTTGAAAGAGCCAACAGTAGCTGGATTTTTCCCCTGCCAAATAAGGATCAAGAGAAGTGTTAAAAAGGGAGGTGGCCACTGCTTTTGTAGCTGACTTTACTGGATCTCCAGTGGGTGATGGGCAGGTAAAAGCAATCCGTGTAGCTCCTTTCTCCCATACCATAGCGAGTCCCCAAGGTAGCAGAGTTAATCTGGTGTTTGATCCTGGGCTCCCACCTTTGGCACAAGCAGGGTGGTCACTCTAGCCACAGTAGCTCATCCATAAAGGAGTTTGGCAGCGGGTGCAGCAGGGAGCTGGCACTAGTACCTCTCCCATTTTAGGTGCACCTGAGTAGCAAGGTGCCTGCGCAGGCAGACGTGTCATAGGATCATGGGGGTCCCATTCCTCCATCCTCTCTTGTTCAGCTGCATTCTGCCCCATTGCTTCCACATGGACCAAGGTTTGACTCCTGCTAAGAAAGTTTCCCTGAAGAGGATAATGCTGCCACTGGCTCCTAGTTTCCCGGGGTTTAGTCCAGGGGCAATGGGTGAAAGGGAGCAAGATTACCCTAATTCCCTTTGCTTGCTTTCTGATGTCTGTGGTTTGAGCTCTTTGGCTAATTGCTTCAGGCCTTGGGAATGGGAGAAGGTCAGGGGAGGTTTCCTGGGGGTGGCTGTGGTGCTGCTGTCTGCACGGTGGGATGGCGCAAGCAGTGGAAGCTTCATGTCACCCCAAATGTCTCAAGAGAAAAATCATTCCCTCCTGATGCCAAGGAAAGGAGTTCATTTCCTTGGAGTAAAGTTAATCCTCTTTGCTAACCAGCAGGTCCAGGCAGCGCTGCCTGCAAAACAGCAGGATTAAATCGGGGCCAAGCAACTGGCCATAGGATGCTCTTGGTTTTCCTAAGGAGAAAATCCTTGGTACTGGATTATAGCAAGAGAAATGAGTAGGGGGGTGATGTATAATCATATAATGAGTAACCCTTCTGCAGCCAGTCTTAATAGAAGCATCCATCAAAAATGGCCTGTTAGCAGCATGCTGAAAGCTTGGAACTGTGTGACTGATGCATATCTCCATGTGCAGATCAGGGTTCCCATAAAACCTTCTAAATCTGTGATCTTGTAGGCACCTCAGGCCCTTGTGCTGTGTCCTTGATAGTGCTTAGTTCCAACAGAGTTTAGTATTTCAATAGCATGAAAACTGGGTTATTTGCTAGAGTTTTGCTCTGTTTATTTCATGGGAATAGGCAGGTACCTTCCTGCTTTACAGAAACCAACAGTCCCTGATGGGCAAAATTACTGCTAATGGCTGACAGTGAAGAGTTTTTAAATGTTAAGGTTGCCATATAACTCATTGGACTAGCAAATGTCGGTGCATTAAGCTGCAGATGCCCTCTCTAGATGTTCAGTTATAGAATCGTAGAATCACAGAATGATTTGGGTTGGAAAGGACCTTAAGATCATCCAGTTGCAACCCTCTGCCGTGGCCAGGAACACCTTCCACTAGACCAGGTTGCTCAAGGCCCTGTCCAACCTGGCCTTGAACACTGCCAGGGATGGAGCAATAGAGCAGAATTATTCTGGGGGCTTTTGCACACCCGGGAGTGAAGTTCAATGTGTTGAGCATGGCCATGCTCCAGGGAATGCTCCATGGCTTTTCCCTGGGACATTTGCCCTTCCGTCCTCCCTTTTTCTCCCCAGGACAATCTCGAGGCCAGTTCTAGGGCCATGCGTGCTAACTGACATCTCAACCCACACCCTCAGGTTTCCTTCGAGGTGGCGGTGGAGGCGCGGAGCTGCCCCGCTGAGGACACCTCCCACACCTTCACCATCAAGCCCG